ATATTAATTTCCGATTTTTAGAGGCTCTATAAGTATGTGCGCAAAAGCCAAAAAAGAGGACAATGTCAATAGCGTTTTGGTGCATTGATACGTTTCGGATTCTTTAAGAAGTTTGAAGGATGGTCGTTATGGCGACAGACCGTGGTAATTAATGAAAAGGGATATTGAAGAACTAAATGTTCGTCATACTTGTACTATTTCATGTCCACCGTAATTGTAGATTACAATTTAAGTATCCAGTCTAGGTTTATGTATTGTTAATGAGCGAATTCGATTATTAGGGTAAAGATGCATAATATAAGATTTAAATAAAGGGCTGGCCACTCTTGCTATAATAGTTCAAAAGTAGATAATGAAAAATGAATATATTGAAAAATGAATATATTCTGAGCGAAGATATGAGTGTTAGAAGATGTATCTTAGAGCTTTTATTATCGTATCTTAGATTGTTTATTATCGTACCAACGGTACTGGACAAACGAGACACAGTCTCGATTATCCATTTTATCGTTAAATTTTTTAATCTCGCGGGCGTTCTAATCTATTTAAATCTCTACCACCCGATTGTCTAGCGCGTGGATTATAGGTTTGTCATATTCATAAATGTCTATGTAACAATTGAAGCCAAAAGAAAGATCTGCAATAGGCAGATTTAGCTCTTATATAATGCATCTTTAAAGCTTATTACATTAACTTGGAAATGTACCGCAAAAGAGATTTCTAGTGAGTTGGGTTTTAATAATATGAAAAATCACTCTAGATCCATGGACCGGCAATACGGAAGGATCTGTCTGCAGCTGCTTTAGGTTTTGTGGATTGGTTGGAGTTGGGTTTATGTAAATCATTCAAGTACAGGGAGCCTGATTTGTATACTACTGGCAATAACTTGTATACTGTGCGAGAATCATTTTTACTGCTAGAATTTATATTACTGGGTGAGACTACATAGTACTTTTCTTTTTAACAGATTGACATACATGCCATAACAACTATTCTATTATATAAACTACATTATTACCTACGTGTATCTAATTTATGAATCTCTCTTCAACAGGCACTGGACCAGCAAGTAATACAAATGAAGCAGAAGGAAAACAACAAGACACAGGGACAGATAACCCACAAGAAGACAATGCACTGAACCCACCTGAAGAAAATCCAGAAGAATCGGAAGACGGACCAGGTGGACCAGATGAACCAGCGCAGCTTGGACCACCTGCAGAAAATCCACAAGTCACAGAAGAATCGGAAGTTGGAACCGATGAAACTGATGAAGTTGGACCAGGTGGACCAGATGAACCAGAGCAGCTTGGACCACCTGCAGAAAATCCACAAGTCACAGATGAATCGGAAGTTGGAACCGATGAAACTGATGAAGTTGGACCAGGTGGACCAGATGAACCAGAGCAGCTTGGACCACCTGCAGAAAATCCACAAGTCACAGATGAATCAGAAGTTGGACCCGATGAATCTGACGAAGCTGGACAAGAGCAGCTTGGACCCGATGGATCTGAGCCACTTGGGCAGGAAGGAACAGAATCAACCAACCAGGAAGAACCAGGGTTGGTGGTTCCAGGTGGCTTTGAACTGTTTAATTCAGAACAGAAAGGAGAACAAACGGACATTCAAGATGGCGGGTCCGATTTAATGGATCTGGAAGCATCTCCTGTTGAAAACATTGAACCTCTCAACCCAGATTTAGACGAGGAATCGAATAATGGTATGCCAGATGAAACTGAAGATACAGAGCCCAGTGTTTCGACTAGCGAGATAGAATCCGTTTTACCCCTAATTTCCAAAATGGCATTGGAAAAAGCCGGTGCTGAACTGGTAGAAATGCTAAAAAGGATATCACATACTATGTCAGAAAAGGCTAAAACTATACAAGAAAAAGTTTCAGCTATTACATCGGAAGAAGAAGCCATGGCAGTGAAACAAGAGAGGTTGGAAGTTGCTGCAGCCAAAATGATGGAACTTAAAGATCAATTTGAAAATCTTTTTCAAATGATCCAGAATGATTTAAGTGATTTGTCAGGCCGCGTTCCACCCATTTATGAAACTGAAATGTCAGACACCGGGAAATCCGACTTACCTGACAGAAATAATCAAATTGATAAAGAACCAGAGCAAATGAAAAGACATTTGTCATCCCAGAATCTATTGAAACGTATTCTAGAGAAATTACAACAGCAATAGATGTAGATCTAATATGGTAGAAATAGTGATATTCGTCGTACCGGATAGCAATCCATGAATAAAGAAACAGCAACAACGGAAAAGGCACATTCCACCCTAGGAAGTCTTGAAACTTATTTTACATAAATTAGGACATTGTCAGGTGTAGAACGATTTATTCTTTTCATACAATTATTCAATCAATATAAATGAAATATAATCCAATTTGTTCAAATGTATTTTATAACTTATCCGTGAAATCAAATGATTCATGCCTTCATGGTAAAATGGAATATATTTTATTGCCATAAGTCATAATGAAACGAAAGGGGGTGTAACGTCCTACTGTTCCATAAGTGATAATATTATGCTTTTGGTGATATTCAAACGAACTAAACAACTGATCCTCAAGCACATCGCAGACCAATCGATCTCAATTTATCACACTGTTTTTTCTGACAGAAAATACAAATAAGCCACGAAGAATTATTAAGAATCCATTTTTTCTGTTACTATGAATACGTATTACTCCATGCAATTAGTTTAATAGGAAAACTGCCATGGATAATATATTGTTGCATACGAAAGATCCAACGCGTGCGTTTAGATCATCTGGTCTGTCAATGAGTCAAGTGGCTAATTTCGATTCCACACTTGCACGTGACAAGGAGTGGGGTCACCTGTTTGTGGGGTTTCTTTGTGCTATCCACTACTAAAGACCCTACGCGCAAACATATCATTGAAATAAAATTGTACCATAATTGTAACTGTAAGTTGGTCCCAAAATGACCTAGTTTGTGTTCATTGGACATCCCCTTCTCTCTCTGAAAAGGTATTGTCAATAAGTATCAGTCAATCGAGTAACAACGTTCGGCAACAAGGCATATTTTATCCCAACTCAATATATGGATGACCACACACCACAAACAGGACCATTCATTACGCGACGTTTCTGCTCACACTACATCTGTTTTCAAGACTGACACAACTCACCCTAAACACAGAGAACTATCTACTTTCAGAGGAGCTAATATGTGGCAGAACTTAATTCCGTGTGACTCGATTGCACTTCCCTCAACTCAGAACGTGTTGGTAATTGTCAGTTGGGTATCCCCTTCTTCAAGTATGCACACATGGTTAACAGGCACTTACACAGCATGGAATCTTGATACTTCTGGAAAACCCCACATTGAAAATGAAAGTTTGTATTTCTTCAAAATATACGTTGCCAGGCAACGAAACATATGCTCACAGCAGCTAGGTGGAATGTCCGGGCAGTCCACAAAGTTTGTCGCATATTATATGTTCTTTTGTAGGTGAAGGGTAAAATAACAATCAATAATTAACCATCAGAAGAAATAATATTTGATAGGGCAAGAACCCTGGACAGCCAGAATTAGATAAAGAGCTGATGTTCTGGAACAGTGTTCTTCTCTAGTGTACACATGGGCGTGCATATAAAAGAACCCTTGGCAGTTGGAATTTGATATAAGAGTAGGCCATAGCACTGCTGTCGGGGCAAAATTTCCCTCACAGAACACTGTATGGCATATGCCCATCTTCATAAGCCCAGTAGGAGCAGACAAGTAGGACGTTAAACCCCATTTCATGCTATTAATTTCTCAGTAAATGACTCTTTCAAAGCTTTATCCATATATTGCCATATATATGGTCATATATTGTTGTCACCACAGTCTGTCCATGTGTAGGTCCATCATCCATAATCTAGAGGCTGAAATTATCACCTGATTATTTGAAATTTATACACAGTGTTTATGCTATGAGATAAAGAAGCCTATTGATTTTTTCAAAAATCTTGTTGACTTCTAGAGGCCAAAGTTTTCTGACTGACTGACAGACACATAACTTTGATCATGCGAGGAAGAGGACTATTTACAAAGATTGAAAATAAAAGTATAAAACATTAACTTATTCTATTTCAATGAAACATGCATGTACATTTGAGCTTTTAGAGTTGGTTGTGATGATGGTGTGGGATGGGGGTATATTCGGGGTGAGATATGCATCAAAAATCACCACTGAGGCTGACCTTAAAAATATCTTTGTTTCACCAAACCCGACCCACAATCGAGGAGAAGGGTCGGTAGGTCGGGTTTTTTTCAGATTTTTTTTTTAAGAGCTAATTTGACAGCTTGATAATTTTCCGGGTGCAAACATTCGTCTTCTTTTATTGGCAAACAAATCAATGACATCGGCATCGGGATTTTTCTTGATGCACGACTCGCACACAAATTGCGACAAACTCACGTTTGAAACTCCCTCAACACGTTTTTAACGATCGTGCGGGTTGTGCCTTTATTTTTCTCGAAAACGGATATTGAAAATATCGTCGTCATGTTTAAAACGACGCCCCACAGACATAGAGGCAGAATCATTTCGTGGGAATGGACGTGCTTTCGTCTGCAACCATTTTGTTGAGAAGCGACACCTATGACGCTTTCGTCTTGATCAACCAGTTTCAATAATGAATCAAACCATAGCCATAATAAAGGGAAATAACTCTCGTGATATATTTCAGGTTGACACACAAAATAAAATAAAAAGATCGCGGAAAAGTGCAATAAAATAATTTAAGTCGGGGGTGGTTTTAGTTAGTCGGTCGCGTTAGGCGAAACAAAGATATTTTTAAGGTCAGCCTGACACCCCAATATTTCCATCTCTAAGCAAATATAATGCTTCCCTCACTTTCTACATGCATGAAAATGAGTGCATAGCATGGACCTTAGTTTTTTGTGCCATTCCATATTGCTCGTCAGTTTTTCAAGTGGAATCTGGATTTAATAATAACAATGGCTCTTCTCTGAAACAGGGGGGTTGGATGAACGAATGGTTAGCATGTGCGCGCTGTATCATAAGGTCAAATGGCGTGGTCTTAATTCCCCGGTTGTCTGTGACAAGGAGTAGGGTCGCCTGTCCAACCTCGTCGGTTTTCTCCTGGTCCTCTGGTTTCCTCCCACTGCTCAAAGACTCCCACGCGCAAGCGAATTATTGAAATAAAATTGAACCATGTGTTAGTCCCAAAATGACCTAGTTTGTGTCAAGTGGACATTAAACCCCACCTCTCTCTCTCTCTCTCTCTCTCTCTGAAACATGGAATATTGGAGTCAAATATCACAACCACAAAGAGGTTTAACTTTTATTAGCAGCTTCAATAATAGCATCTATTAAATCACCCTTTTGTCTTAATGTATTAACAGCTGCATTTCTTTCAACGCCCAACTGCTTCATCATCACATCAATATCACGTTTGTCAAGTCCTTGTTCATTGGCTGCTTTCTCACCAATTAGCTGCAACACAGATTTAGGTCCAATATTTTCACGAATTATCTCCCTTGTCAACAGTTTTCCCTTATGAATGATTTTAATTTTTTCCAAAGGAATTTCTAACTCACAGGATAAATATTTCAATATTTCATCACTGGTCCAATTGTCATTAATGTCAATTTTATGTCTCTGTTTGAAGAATTTCACTGTAATTTGAAAAGATGGATGATCACTGTGGAACGCTGGGACATCATAGAATGCCTCATTATTATGATAGTAAAATTTTGTAGAAATGTTTGTTAACACTGCTTCATCGATTTTTTCTTCTTCAAAAATGTTTTTCGACTGAGATTTCAATTTTAAGTCCTTTGCCGCTTTTTCAAAATTGATTCTACTAGTGTGCCTAGAATCTGGTGTTTTATCTGTTACATTGTTTTCATTGGAAATTTTAGAATCAACAATAGCAGATTCATTAGTCCTGGAATCCATATCTTCATCTTCTATTTGTTCCACAGAGTTCATATATTCCAGGCATTTATCTTTGTGATTGACCCAATCTTTTACTTGACATTCACGAGAACTGAAAGTAATACACAATAATAAAATGAAAATGAAATAGGGCTTAACGTTTACTTTTTTGCACTGACTGGGCTAAAGAAGCTAAACCCAAAGTATTGAACTGGTTTGAACTGATTTTGATCAGCAAAGAGACAATAAACTCTGTTTATTAATTGTTTTCAGCTTAAACTGCTGAACACAAAATCAGTTGGCCTATAATCTCAGCACTGGTTCTATCTGGTCACCTAAAATTTTAAATATAAAAAAATCAGATACCCAAATAACTTCGAAAAAGGCCTAAAGAGCAATTCATCACATACCAATTAATTTCACTAAAGCACAAAGAATTCTTTTTGGGAGTGGTTATTTGCCCTGGCGAATATCCTAAAACTTTTCAAGCTATTCGCCAATCCAGTTCAATAATAAACCCATCTTCATGGATATTGTCAAGCAGAGTGACAAATAGCAAAATGGGAAACATGCAAAGTTATGTATTTTTTGGCTACAGATAGGTTTAGGTTTTGAATTTGGGTTAGCAAGTAATCAACACGGTTGCAGTTTACCACTAAAAGGTCCTTGCTCAGGTAGCTAATACTAATAGTAATAATTAATATCAAAGAGACTTTTTAATTATTAATATAGAGAATCTATAGTAATTACCTGGTAGTCTAGTCACTTACCCCCCCCCCCCCCCCCCCCCACCCCCAAACACTGGTCTGAAGAGTGAAATATTATTAAATATAGCCTACAGTAACAAGTATTAATACATACTGTCAGTACGTTATGATACATTTTTAGGCTATAGGCTAGAAGAATATTATTATTTATACTCAATTAGGCTACAAGTAAGTAAGTAAGTGTGTGTGTATAAATAAAAAAAAAAATAAAAAAATCAACACCGAAATTGTCCACCGGCAGCAAAGCTGTTGGCAGTGTTGCTGTCAAGGACTATAATAATAGACCATTTAGACAATGACAAATTATCTAGAGTCTAGACGACGTTCCTCGTATATTTACCAGTAATAAACACTTTTACACCGTACACATCTCTTCATTTTGTCAAAAATCAGCTGACAGTTTCTGCATAAACAACCTGAATCGGCCATATTGACTTCCTTGACTACCTTTGACCTTAGGGTAGGCTTGTCTCCCTTAAACATCATCTAAAATGGAGTTGACTCCCTTTGCTTGTATTTTTCATTTCTAGGACTTCTGATGTTGTTCACAGACGGGTCATTCTGGTATTGCGTTTTATCTACTGGATATGTCATTGGTTGTTACTTCTAATTTAAGCTTAAAATCTATGGACGTACAATTTTTGCCGAAGTCGCGCGAAGAACAATTTTTATGTCACCCCCCCCTCCCCCCCAAAAAAAAGAAAGACCCCCCCCCCCCCCAAAAAAAAACCCCAAATAAAATTCAATCGATCATAATAATAGCATTTTTTTTTTTTACTTTTATTTATCTCATCAGCGTACAAAATCGGCCTAAAGCATTGAGATTATCTTTTAAGAGTACCAGGGCCTATTATAATGTCCTTACTATTACACCATTTTAAAGAGCTACCCACTAAGTAGCCTACTTTGAGAATAGAGTTAATTATGGCAAGACAATTCCATTTCTACTTTGGCGGACTAGCGGTTATAATAGACTCATGTTTTTCGTAATAGAGATTGCAGTCATAGAGGTGTATATATACACCTCCATGATTGCAGTTTTCCGATTAAGCCTATGCCTAGATGGCTATCTATGGTGGAAGCAAGACCCGCTGAAAATTGAATTACCAAAAGGAAACGCACTCCGTGGCTCCGTTTACGTTTAGGCTACTTTATTTGTCTCTGAATAGCAGGGTCTACCGTCAGCGGCATTATCCACTTACGGAAGGGCACAATATAGCCTACAGTGGCTGCATTAAGATGTCGACTTTGATAGTAAAATCAGGATCAAAACTATAATTATATGGAAGTAACTTTGACTAAGGTTTCGCTGCGACGGGTTTATGAGTAGTGTCTACATTTTCTCTATCATAATTACGTGACGTCTTTGCACAGTGACGTTTCGTACTTATGACGTCATAATTTCACCTAGCAATGTATCCTGTTGTCAAACATGGACGCCTATTTCAAGACTCGTTTAGTGTAAACTTTTAAGCATTTCATTTCCAATCCAATGAATACGTGTTAATTAGGAAGATGCTTAATACGTATGCATGAATTTAACTGAAGCAAACCAAAGTTTAAAGACAGCAGTAAAAAACAGAAATACCCTCTCCGGCTGAGACAGCTATCGCCAAAGCAAGGTCAGTCCAACAACCAGCAGATAGCAAAACCCCTTTCCGTTTCAATACCCGTCAATACTACTAATGCCACAGATAACCCAACACAGAAACAAGGTACTTCCCGTGTAGTGCCGATGAACTCACTAAATGAAAAGATAACAGGCGAAATGGATGAACAAAAGCAACCAGAAACACCAATAATAAAAGAAACGACAGAAGCTGTTGCAAAACCAGTAACAGACCCCGCACCAGCAGAAAATAAGGACGACGGTAAGAAAATAACCAGTGACAGCAAGGATGCTGGCAAAAATGATTTAGATAATAAAGCTCCCGATAAAAAAAATGCAGACGCGAAAAGTACGGAGAAGAATGATGACGATAAGAAAGACGCAGACGCGAAAAGCACGGAAAAGAAAGACCCCGATAAGAAAGATACGGATGCTAAAGATCCGGATAAGACAAATTCGGATGATAAAACCCTCGATAAAAAAGATGCAGACGCGAAAAGTACGGAGAAGAAAGATACCGATAAGAAAGACACAGACGCGAAAAGTATGGAGAAGAAAGATGCCGATAAGAAAGACACAGACGCGAAAAGCACGGACAAGAAAGACCCCGATAAGAAAGATGTCGCTGCTAAAGATCCGGATAAGAAAGATCCAGAACCAGTTAAGAAGCCTGCACTTGATCCAAAAAAACTCGGCGCAGTGAATTTGAAAGTTGCTGGAAAATGGGGAGCTGCTTTAGAGAAGGTAAATTTTTCATTGCTTTGTTAATTTTGATTTTGCCCAAAGTCGTTCCTTAGACTTAAGAGTCTTGACAAATAGAAGAGTAACTTATAACTAAATTTTCTGCCGAGTGGAAAACGTGCAAATATTAATTATTATCCTTCTACTAATTTACAAAGCCGTTTGTGGCGAGAACATTTCGTGCTCCGCAAAATAACAACGACAGCCAATTTAGTATGTACGTACGGAAGCAAGTCTGGAGGGAAGAGGTGGGATGGCAACATCATTTTACTACCCTCGAGCGTAGGGGTTATATATCACAGTTCTTATCGCCATTTAGGCGTATACCACAGAATGGCGGTTACGTTACAGTTTGTAGATTGCCGAAAACCTTTTTCTTACAGTACATGTTTTTTTCTAGGTTGGGTAAGCTTATATGTTTTCCTATCGTTGTTTATGTTTTTAAAATATCGATTTCTAGAAAATATATATATCTAGAGTTCCTGATTATTCGTGTGCAATCTGCATGCTTCCTTGGAATAAAATAAAATACATAGAAATATATATTGGTTTAATTGTCTGCGAATTAGAAAATGTTAAAAGCTAAACTGACATGGGTTTTTATTTTGATGTAATTGCTTCAGACGAAAAAGCCCAGCGCCAAGAGGCGACCGACCAAAAGTGGACCAGAAGTTGATCCATTTTTAGCGAAGTTTGCTATGGCGAATACCCGTAGAAATGCAATGCAAAAAACCCCGGCTGCCGATGGTAAAGCAGGAGACAAACCTCCTGCCGACGACGACGATGACGAAGAAGAGGAAGAAGAGAAGTGTTGGAAACAACCTTGTTGTACCTGGCCGTACGTCAGTTTAGTTTTATACACCCATGCACGTGTTAAAGATGAATTATGTAACATTGAGATAAAGAACTGACAGATCTCGCTCTGATGGTTCAAAAATAGATAATGAAACGGAAATATGTTGAAAATTTCAGTCACATTACATTATTCTGAGCGGAGAAATGGTCGATTGTCATTTCTACCGTTGTTACGATAATAAACAGAGTCTCAATTATCCATTTTTTAATTGCATTATTAACTGGCAATCGTGTTTAAATCCGTTGAAAATCAAAACCATCCGATGCTTTAGGGAGTTGTTTAATAAATGTCTAATCAATGATGTCTATTATTGAGGCCAAACGAAAGATCTGCATTAGACAAATTTAGCTTTTACATAATGCAATCTTTAATTAATGTACCCGGGTAGTTTTTTTTTGTCGTCAGCCCTGTTCACCCGCCAATCACCATAGTTCCGAGTTTTTTTTGTTTTAGGTTTGTTTTGTTTTTTTAAGATAAAAACAAAACAAAACAATTTTGTTGCGAAACCCTAAACAAGACCAAAACCGTTCATATTTGCGATGTTGTTGCCGGTCGTATAGAAGTCATGTTCTGGTAACATTGTGTCTACAATTCATATTCATTCAAACATGCTTGGATTGTTTTACTATTCAAAAGAAAAAAAATGAAATGAAATAGGGTTTAACGTCCTACGGATATGCACCAACTATGCTAATGTGTACTTGAAATAAGTTGGTTCTCCAACACAAACAATAATATAAATAGTGAGATCTGTAATGGGAAAGATTTATTTTCTTCCTTGATACTCAAAACGAAAACGATTAAGTATAGTTAGCCTGAACCAAACTATAGTTTTGGTGGCCTAAAGGATGTTTATTGTGACACATTTTGAAAAATAGAATCTTCTTGAATTGAGTTTTTATTGATTATGATTGTAATAACCTTGTCTAATTAATTACACAACTATAATCGCCATTGATTTTATGGATTTTATTAATTAGGTATTGGAGAGATTATGTGATTGATCCAGCTGAGCCTTTATGGTTCTATTGGTCCTTGATAGCATCTTTAGCTGTATTCTACAACCTAGTTTGTGTCTTTCTACGAGCTGTCTGGGTAGAGATGAATATGAAAGAATGGGAAATGGCTTGGTTTATTCTCGACTACACTTCAGATTTCATCACCATACTAGATATGTTCGTCAGGTGTCGTCTTGGTGAGTAAAACTATAAAAACAAAATAAAAGAATATTTAATTTCCTTGGAATTGGTCAAATTATTATTATTAATATTTCACTAAATTAAAATAAAACCACTTTGTTTTAAAAAATACCCACAACTCTAATTATCATGGATTTGGTCAATATTTAATTAAATTAAGATATACACTTAAAACCCCTTTTGTTAGTGACAACAATTACTTTAATAAATAAACTCCCCCAACACCTAGGTACCCCCCCCCCCCCTTAAAAACAGCAAAAAAAACAAAACAAAAATAAAACAAAAAACCACGTAACAACAAACTTTTCAGTGATTCACTCTACCGTCCAGAATTGATAAGAATTGAGTATCTGAAATAACAATAAGAAAAGGGAAGAGCTATTAGCTTATCCGATTACTTTGTCAGAAAAATAAAATCGGGGTATTTACTCAGAGAGAGAGCGGAATGTAGTTTATTTACACAAACCCACCACTTCGAATTAACAGCGCAATGACAATGTGACACTATATTCGCATGATAATTAATCATATCCAGTGTTAATAGTAAGTGCGGGAGGATCGCACTACACGCAAACAAAACCGATGAGACAAACCTGCGGACACGACAAACTACACAAGTAAGCTTTTATCTAGGAGACCGTTTGGCACGAACTGAGTGAAGACATATAAGATCATATTATTAAGATATACTTTAAAGGATTGGATGCTTTGTTATGCCCCCGTCAGACCGGGGTGGCGTCCTTACTGTGCTGCTGCGACCGTACGGCGACCAGAAAATGCACAAGGTCGCCGGCAAACGTGAACACAGCTTTCGAGGTCAGATCGCGGAACCTTGGCTTTTGTTTTGAACATGCTGAAAACAAACACCGTGACTGGGCGACCACGGAGACCACAGCACGATATCTAGCGTTTCCACCACGCCTTTAGCACGCTTATTGCGATCTTGACGCCGCCTGAGACCATTTTCCGTCACCGTAGCCGCGCAGTAAGGACGCCACCCCGGTCTGATGGGGGTATTATTCTCTGATCCGAAGATTTTAATATTTTTCTTTTTTTTTCAGGTTTTCTAGAACAGGGTATTTTAGTGACAGAGAAGAAGCGACTTGTTAAAGTTTATATAAAATCACCAAAGTTCTTCATAGATATCTTCAGTATTCTGCCCTTTGACCTTTTTTATTTGTTAACAGGACTTAATACACTTTTTCGTATGAATCGTATTGTGAGGATATGGCGTGTTCTGGAATTCTACCACGATTCGGAGACCAGAACAACCTTCCCCAATGGCTTTCGGATGATCTTTTTGGTCATCAGTATTTGTTTGATGATCCACTGGAACGCGTGTATATATTATTCTATGAGTAAAGCTCTTGGGTTCGGATCAGATGAATGGACGTATGATCCTAATAGACCAGGTTTTAGCGGTCTAGGAATGAGATATTTGTTCAGTTTCTATTGGTCAATGTTGACGTTAACTGCGATTGGTGATACCAATCCCCCCGAATCCATGATCGCCATGATGTATTGTGTCTGCGTTACACTTTGTGGTGTCTTGATTTTCGCTACTATTTTCGGTAACGTAGGCGCTATGATTAATCAAATGAATGCATCCAGACAGGAATTCCAACAGAACGTGGATGCCGTAAAGAGATATATGGATATCCGTAAAGTTAGTCCAGTGCTCCAGGATCGCGTTATCCAATGGTTCGCTTATACTTGGAACAACAAGCAATCCGTGGATGATAAAGAAGCCTTATTGGTCCTACCAGAAAAGCTCCGCGCTGAAATAGCCATCCAAGTCCATTTGCAAACCCTGAAGAAGGTGGGCATTTTCAAGGATTGTGAACCTGGTCTGCTACAAGAGTTAGTGCTGAAGCTACGTCTACAGGTGTTTAGTCCTGGCGATTATATATGCCGCAAAGGAGATATTGGAAAGGAGATGTATATCATCAAAAGAGGAAAACTACAAGTCGTATCTCCTGACGGTAAAATAGTTTTTGTCACATTGCAGGATGGTGCAGTGTTCGGGGAAGTCAGTATCCTCAACATTGCAGGAAACAAGACCGGGAACCGAAGAACCGCTAGTGTCAGAAGTATGGGATATTCTGATTTATTTTGCTTATCTAAGGACGATCTGTGGGACGCATTGAAGGAATACCCTGATGCTAAACTGATGCTCTCAGAAATAGGAAAACAGATTCTCCGGAAAGATAACTTGTTGGACGAGGAAGCTGCTAGGAGAAAAGAGTTAGAAGAAATGTCCATGGACACCAAGATTGATCACATTAATACTACCATGGAAAGTATTGGTAAACAAGTAGGACTGCTGGCTACCAACATTCTTGATCTACAAAAACATCTCGGCGTGGTTGATAAGCAACCTGTAGAGGAAGACAAAAAACCCGAAGGGGCGAAATAAACAATCCCTCAAATTCAGAACGTCAGTAAGGCGCATTAAAGTAATACATCTGGACATTGTGGAGACTTCGGACACATTGGTGAAGTTTATTTAAAAACCATCCCTGTGCCTTTCATGACACTTTGACAGTGTCTAAGATACTTTGACAGTGTCTAAGATACTTTGACAGTGTCTAAGATACTTTGACAGTGTCTAATATTTTATGAAGAACATATTTGTATTTTATTTCTGTATTTATTATGAAATCATATTTATTGTAATTATTCGTTTGACTTTGTCTCAAACAGACACAGAACTATCATAACGGTTAACATTTGTAAATATTTTATTAATTTTGTGAATCCAAAGCCATATAATCTGTTTACTTGTCATCTCATGGGAACTAAATGCCTTTTAAATTGAGATAAATAGATTTGCGTGTTGATGTGTAACTATTCCGCCATGTTAGATGGTCGAATAAAATCTATTGCATATACATGTCAATAGTTGTATTTGTTGGTAAATTTACAAACATAACATCGAAAGTTGTTACCAGAATTTTTGTTTTTGGTTAATTTTTTTTAAATTGAATATCTTATACATCTTAATGTCCCACTTTTAGAACTGCACCAACTGAGCCAACGAAATAGGGCATGCAGTGTGTTATTACGGACCACGGTTATTCGTCATCAACAAATTGCGCTGTGGCAGTCAATCTCATCAACCAGAAATTTATTTCTTTGCTTGACAAAGACGGGAGAACCCTCATCGAAACTTCGCTGAAATAAATCCTTTAAGTAACTTGTATTCCATATAATTGTGTCATGTATTACGGAAAACGGTGCTATGGCCTTCTCTTTTTCGATTTCAACTGGTTTTCGTCTCACCTGAACGACTAGATACAGAACAACTGAGAAATCTTATTTTCTTTTAACATTATCAATGATTAGAAAATTGTGTTATTTTTATTACTCGTGATAAAATCGAGTAAATGGCCATAGGCCCACGGGTGATGAAAGCGGACGTGGTTCTTACGAATTCTACTTGATGATAGTTAAAAGAGTGATGCTCGATTTGAATGTACAAGTACATTGGTCAAGTTCAAATCTGCCAAGTAGACCGGGAGCCCAAGGGGTCAACCTTGCTGAAAAGTGTACCAATTTTCTCCTATATGGTATCAATGTATGTATATCTGGTATCATCAGAATGTAAGTCTGCCGAGTTTCTGGTGGTGGGTGTGGTGTTCCACGCCCTAAATGCCATGATCCCCAACTAGGCTAGATTAGCTCAAAAGTGTACCACACGAAAATCTTACTGCAGTGTACCGTAAATCTTCAGGTATTACAAAAACACTCTGACAGACATTTCTAGTGGTGGGGTACCCCTGACAGAGCTATGTAATTGCCAGACATTTGTAGTAGTGGAGTATCCCTGACAAGAGTTATCTAATATTTAGACCAAAGCTAGGCTAGATTAACTGAAATCTGTACCACCTAAAACAGCTTTGGAGTTGTTCAGTACCACCATAGGAGTCATGAATGACCACTGCCAGACAGTTTGTGCGGTGGGTTACCCCTAACAGACACGCCCCAAAATGCCACGCCCCCAACTAGACTAGCTTCGCAGGCACTGTTCCCGTGTTCTAAAAAATTAGATTTTTAGCCAGGATGCGTAGGATACTAATACCTAGCACGTATTGAAGAGGCGATAAACTGCGATTGCAAGAAATTGATTTTTGGGCAAAAAACATTTTATGGGGCTAAAAATGCGTTTTTGAAAAATAAAATTGTTCCTACAACCGCAGTTTATCGCATCTTCCATATGTGCTAGGTATTAGTATTCTACGCATCCTGGCACAATTTTTAATTTTTTGGACCACAGGAACAGTGCCGACTAATCTATCCTAGTTGGGGGTCGTGTTATTTTGGGCGTGTCTGTTAGGGGCAACCCACCGCACAAACTGTCTGCGAGTGGTCATTCATGATTCCTGTGGTGGTACTGAACAACTCCAACGCCGTTTTAGGTGGTACAGATTTGAGCTAATCTAGCCTAGCTTTGGTCTGGAAATTAGATAACTCTTGTCAGGGATGCTCCATCACTACAAATGTCTGGCAATTACATAGCTCTGTCAGGGGTACCCCACCACTAGAAATGTCTGTCAGAGTGTTTTTGTAATACCTGAAGATGTACGGTACATTGCTGTGCGATTTTCATGTGGTACACTTTTGAGCTAATCTAGCCTAGTTGGGGATCATGGCATTTTGGGCGTGGAATACCACACCCACCACCAGAAACCCGACAGACTTACATTCTGATGATACCAGATATACATACATTGATACCATATAGGAGAAATTTGGTACACTTTTCAGCTAGGTTGACCCCTTGGGCTCCTGCTCTAAAGTACATCACCAAGCTAAGTTACGAGTCATATGGATTTTTATTCTGAGGTTTAGATACATTCAAGTCCGCTAGTGTTGGAATTTTCGATAATTCGGTGACTGTAATATTGTGGGGGGTTGGATGGCCGAATGGTTAGCACGCGCGCGCTGTATCATAAGGCCTGTCATTGAGTGAACTGGCTGGTTTCGAATCCCCGGTTGTACGTGACAAGGAGTAGGATTGCCTGTCCAACCTCGTTGGTTTTCTCCGGGTCCTCCGGTTCCATCCCACTGCTAAAGACCCCTACGCACAAGCGAATTATTGAAACACAATTAAACCATATGTTAGTCCCGAAATTACCTAGTCTGTGTCGAGTGGGCTTTTAACCACATCTCTCTCTCTCTCTCTCTCTCTCTCTCTCTCTCTCTCTCTCTGTAATATTGTTTGTGAGAGAATTTAGTTAAGAGTTATAAACTCAGCTTTTTAAAATATAATCCCCGTAACGTTAATTTGAACTACATTGAGTTCTAAAGCATAACATTCAATCATTCTATTATTTTGTTCTAAAGAGAAAAAGGGAGAGAATGGGGTTTACGTCCACTCGACACAAACAAGGTATGAGAATGTATCATAGACGTTTGTTTAACATCGGGAGACGCCGTGGCACAGTTAGTGGAGCACTGGTTAGCTATACTGGTGTTTCCGGTGTGGTTTCCCATGCGGAGGGCCTGCCAAGGACAGCTGTCTAGTCGTTGGGATGGGACGAAAAACCGAGGCCCTGTGTACACATTTGCGTGCACGTAAAAGATCCCTTGGAAGTTGGAATTCGATTTAAGAGTAGGTCATAGCGCAGCTGTCCTGGCAAATTTCCCTCATAGCACAATGTATGGCGTATGCCCCCCCCTCCCCCGTCATTAGCTCGATCGGAGCAGAACAGTGGGATGTTAAACCCAATTTCACTTCAATTTCATTTCAGCTATACTGGGATTTTCCGGTGTGCCCCCCCCCCCCCTCTGCTTAGAGTTATGCTGGACGTTGGGCCTGACAAGGACAACACATAGTCCTTCGGATAGGACGAATAACCGAGAGTCCATATACACGTTGGCGTGCACGTAAGTGAGCCCTTGGCAGTTGAAATTCAATTGCTGCCCGTCTTCATTATCCCGGCGGGTGTAGAAAAGTAGGACGTAAAACCCTATTTCATTCATTAATATATCTATAATTGATTTTATATATATATATATATTATATATATAAAATCAATTATAGACCACACAGCTTTCCTTCCCTTTCTCGTCGTCCACTGTCGCGAAGACAATCACACATTTTTCTACTGCGGATCAATGTGCTCAAGGGTGTGGTGAAATTATTACATACAGCTAACAGTTTAATAATTAATGGTATCTAGTCATTTAGAACGTGCGGAAGTATTTTATACAAGTTTAGGGTTATATTGATCAAATAATATGTGATATTACGTCCAGTAATGTTTAAAAATTATTGAAACAACCATTTGTAAGTGAAACAATACATAATCTTACTCGAATTATAGACGAGCACTCTATATTAAAACAAGCACGATCGTACTATGAACCAGGAACTAACCATCTGGTTGGATGAAATTCAAAAGATGTAATTCACAATATCGTTGCAGAATTGTTTGAAGAAGGAGTATGCCAATTTTCATATCGATCGGACTTGAATTGACGTAGCCTACGGCTTTTTCGAAGAGCGTCACCCCCAACAAGATAAGTAGCGGTTAATGACCAGTTCCTGCTGGTCTAGTCCCCAAAAAATGACACCCATTGATCACACCCATGAGTCATCATTTGGCCAAAACCGCTTCTTTCATTAGGTTAGCGCAATGCACAGCAAAAAAGGCTGGATTATTGAAAGCCTAAATAAATCTAAAAGACAAGATATTTTTAAGGAACGTTTAAAGGCTCAATACCACTCTTGTTGTAACTGAATAATATGTCTCAATCTTTATTCTGGTCAACAAATTGTACTATTTTAGAATATTTCAATTAATTGATGATACAAATTTCATCTTAACACACCTTATTTAAAATTTTTGAAAAATTCAACATAATGGTTTGAAACGTCTAACGTAAAGCTTTTCAAATGAAACTTGGATTTAAAAATATTTTCGAACCCTCTGGACAAGTAAAATAGGATGTAATGGATAATTTACACAACAGGTAGGACACTTAAACATCTAGTACTTAGATAGAGATATTATTTATTTTCTGGAGCTTTCAAGCCAGCAAGAGTGTTATTGTCCCTTTAAGCAATCTTTAGAATATAAAAGGCTGAGTCTACTCCGAACGAGACAACGTGGATAAACAGACGTGTTTTGAGAAGGTGGTGGTGGTGGGATTCTTATTTCAATCTGGTTTGTAAATAATAAAAATTCACCCAAATGCCTAACATTAATATGGCTAGGTATTGAAGGTACGCTAATTCTATAAGAAGATTATTATTGTATGACGATCTTGATTTGTTTAATAAGTGTATTATCTACAGATTAAAAACTTGGAATAGTCAATAATAAAAAAGAGGTCCCGGTGAGACACTAGAATTTATTATCGTAGCAATGGTTCTTGGTTCTGAACGAGCGATACTATCTTGTTAAAACTTCAAACATTCATATCTTCGCCGAGAAAAAAGTAATTTGACTGAAGTATTCGAATTATTAATTTCTCATTATCTATTTTTGAACTATTTAAACAAGAACTCTTTATCTAAATCTTACATAAAAATGTATCTTTGGCCCGTTCTCGAGCTTTTAAAAATATACCCCATACAGAAATAGATATCTTGTTAGAATAGAGGGCTTATTATTTTTTTTCGAGGATAAAATCGAAATTTTTCACAAACAAATCACAACACCATTGCCGAAAACACAATACCCTTTAAAGATATATTCCTTCGATGTTTGATGTCATATTTAACCATCCACGGAAACATTTTTAAAAGGGCTATAATTCAGATACCACTATTACAAGTAACATGTCCTTAAGCGAGAGTGAAATGGGTAACTACATACTACACTAGTAATAGCCTGTCTCCTCATGTGTTGACAATTAACCGCGACCTTTGACAAACATGCAATTGACTAGATATGGCTTCTCTCTTATTGTGAGCTTTCTAACCAGTTTCAGTCTACAATTTTATTTTTCCAGGTTTTGAGATTTTTATATATTTTCTCAAAAAATGATTTTTTTTAACGTTGAACAAAGATGATCTAATAACATTTGAGGAAACATATATTTTTATAAAAATAAACGGATACTGACTTAAATTGCATACGATTCATTTTATTATTGATAAATCCTAGTTATCTATAACAGCTTACACGAGTATTTATTTCCAATAGCATAAGATGCCATAATATGAATTATCTTAATAAACTAAAGTTGTCATGACAACCAATTTCTGTATATTGGAAATCGCCATGGTAATTATTGTAAACAAGTCGTATCTGATTGAATGTGAAGCAAGTATGATCAAGATTTTTTGTTTACGTCTCAAATCAACAGCTACACCCGTTTCTAACATCAAACAAGTTTTGAAAATATTTAAAGAAAATATACTGGCAGTGCCGGATTTAGATGAAGATTGGCCCGTCAAGCCCCTCCTTATCCCCCACCCTCACGACTAGAAGAAAATGAAAGTGTATTTTAAATACAATGGAGAAAAGCCAAGGATGATGCTGGATAATTAAGACTACAATCTATGAAAGGCTTATGACAGTGTCAAACATAATATACACCTAGGTCGAAGGCTCCCTAGAGATGTTGTTGTTCTTAGTGGTTAACGTTCGCTTCCACTGAAGGTGATGTCGCAGACAAGTTGTCTTGTTTTTATTTTTATTATCTTAGCGCACGCTTCTTTCCTTTGGAAGGAAACCGTAGCACCCGGAATAAACCCACGAGGTTGAGAAGGCGCCACATAAGCCCACACCAGGGATCGAAACCACAACCGCAAATCAGAGGTGACTGGCCAGCTAGAGGACGGAGCATGGCACTCTAGACTACAAGGCCACCCCAACCCCCCTTCCTAGAGCTCGAGGCCCTTGGCTTAAGACCGCCAAGCCTATATGTAAATCTGGCAATGTACTCTGGGCTATGGCAAAATAAATAAGCTACAGCTTTTGTAGGAGAAGATTATATAAGCTCTGTCTAATTACTAAATTCCTATTCACAACAAACACGGTGTCTGAATAAGGCTGAGGCTTACGACCAGAAGGTTAGATTCGCATTGAAACACGCGGAGTTGATTTAATAACCTATTAACAGTAAGTACTGAATTTCGACTTGGAATATCACTCGAATCACGAGTCCTATTTTACTGAAAATAAGACTGGTGCCGTAACTTGAGAGTTAGCGTCAAGCCTGAAACTGTTTATTGTTGTGATTGCTACAAAATTCGAACGCAGCATACATCTATCGACTTGAACATAGATACTTCCGGTTTGATCTATATGTCACCAGAACACTCTTTCTCTATATGCAAATTCTAAATGGGTGGACGAAAGTGTAGATTAAGGAACAGCTTGAGAAGGGACGAAAAAGGGTTAGGGTGCCGTATACACGTAGGCGCATACGTAGCAGAATCTCTGACAGCTGGAATTCGAAATAAGGAAAGACCGTAGCGCCGCTGTTCAGGCAAAAATCTGTCATAGCACGCTGAATGGTGTATACCGTCTTCATTAACCCAAATGGAGCAGTAAAATAGGACGTTAAACCCCATTTATTTTCATTTCTTTTCCTTTAACCTGGAGTTACACGGTTTAACGAGGTTGCTGTTCAGAATTGATTTTACATTGTCTATGACAGCTTAACACTTTCTTAAGAAATACTCTCAATTTTCGTTAATGACCGGGGATTATGAAATAATAAAATGAACTACTCGATCATCATTCATCATAGTTCTCGACATTTTATTTTCAAATATCAGATCATCGAATGAATAATTGTCGTTTTTTATTTTAAAAAAAGGAGAAAAACAATGATGTCAGGAAATTATTTGTTCGCCTCCGAAATCACAAATAAAAAATGACCTGGAAATTCTATTCAAAGCTTTGTTTTATTATATGGTTTGTCCCGGTTGTTAATGAAAGGGAACGAAGAACAGTTTTTATTTTTAGATTTTTATACCTACACTCGTACATATTCTTTGTACAACAACAGCTTATTGTCTGTATGTGTTTATACGTTCCTTTGAAGCCGCAGATTGTTATAATTACAAACTTTAAGAAATGTGGTTTAACGTCCTTATCCTACTGCTGTATACGGGCTAATGAAGACGCCATGCAGTGTGCTGAGGCGGTGAGAGAGAGAGAGAGAGAGAGAGAGAGGTTTAATGTCCACTTGACACAAACTAGGTCATTTCGGGCCTAACATATGCTTTAATTTTATTTCAATAATTCGCTTGCTGCTACATAAGGGACAACGGCGCTACGGGCTACTCTTATTTCGAATTCCAACTGTCAAGAGTTTCATCTCGAAAACAGTCGTTTCCATGACAAAGTAGTGTACGGTTGTTTGAAAATATGCACGTTCTAGCATAGCGGGCGGCTGAGATATTTGTATATATCATAAAACCCAATGTTTTTAAAATAATCACCAGATGCGTGCGGTTTTTTTATAGACTAGATTGGAAATAACATTTTGTTATGTTATAGGTGTTGGGTGGTGGAGTTGCTTAATGCGTTATCTTATGTGACAAGAGGACTGCCTGCCCAACCTCGAGTTTTCTCCGGATCCCCCTGTTTCCACGAGGGTCGCCTGTCCAACCCCGTGGGGTTTCTCCGGGTTCTGTCGTTTCCCCCCACTGCTAAAGACCCCTACCCGCAAGCAACTTTTTGAAATAAAACTGAACCATATGTTAGTCCCGAAATGATTCAGTTTGTGTCGAGTGGACGTTAAACCCCATTTCTCTCTTCCTGGTTTCACTGGCTGCTAAAGACCCCCGCGGTCATTATAGTAGGCATACCTTGGCATTGGTTGTACATGATTTATTGTCTGGTAGCTATATTCAATTGACTACTTTTTACACCAAAGATAAACAGTGATGGGAGTAAATGAGTATAGAAAGGGTAAAGCTTTCTGGTATGTCTAATCATATAACTGAATTACTTAACACGCTCTTTACAAATGTATTTGATATTGACGGGTAATTTGGCGAATATAAAGTAGAGTGTCTTGGCAGTCCAAAGTAAGTGTGCTAATATCTTCAATATTATACCAATGGCGCTGAAAAGTCGGATGTCCTCGCGGGTTTTAGAACCGGGATCAATAATAGCTAACATGGACTAACAATGGATAACTAACACAATGATTAAAACACAAATTTGGCCCAAACAGCGGCGCTACGGCCTGCTTATATTTCAACTGTCAAGCATTTTTTTACGTGCACGTGGCATCTGGGTTTGTCGTACCATCCGAACGACTAGACAAACTGGAAGATCCCGGGGAATTTTCTCGGCCAATACCGGGGTCGAATCCCGTATATCTTGGTTGTTGATCCAGCGCCTTACTTAAAGGAGCTAAATCGCTAATATTTTGGACCTAGAAATTGGCACAAATGAGTCGCAACATATATAATAATGTAATATGAATTTATATAAACTGTTTTACATTCAATCGTGTCCTTTTTACTGTGAATTGCCATCAGTTATGTTCGGCGAAATACGCCAGAAGTCTCAACCGCAAGTCAGCTTCTAGCGTCTGGTTATTCCAGTCAACACCGATATTATTTATTGCGCATGCTCTCCAAATAAGAATATGATATCACCGTTTGACATGACTTGTGGAATATGTCTAGCCTCATTCTTTGAGCATCTTGTTACAAATGGCGCTGAAACGCATTATGGTACACGATTCGTGTACCAAAGGTAAAATGTTTATTTTGTCTTAAATATTGGATATCAGAAACCCATCTTTTCCAGGTAAGATCACAACACCAATGCTGATTTAAATTGCAAAAAAAATCGTGTTTTCAATGTCGAAGATTTTGGATGATATTGAGTTACGGACAGCTACTAAGATAAATTGGAGTGTTCAAAGTTTCGGAACCTTATTCTAGTGGTTCCTGGCGGAATGGAACGAGGGGAGGACGGGCGGATGGAGCCCACTGTAATACCCCTCGCTTTACTTCGGTCGGCGTGGGTCAATGATTTATTAATAACTGTCAACTAATTAAATTGGAGTAATGAATACGCGGTGGTTTAGTGAGTATGGAGCTGGCTTGTTAATCAAAAGGTCCCGGTTTGATCCCGGTGTTGTGTACACGTTGCCGTGCAAGTAAAAGGACCATTGGTGCACGTACAGGTGGTGCATTGCAGAACCTACGCCCAACTCCATTAGTCCAGTTTGTAGAAAACAGTAGGACGTTAAATCCCATTCAATTTCAATATAATGAATAAAGAACCGTTTTCTGTATTTATGTAGTTTCTTTATTATCTCTTTCAGTATGGTATCATATATTACAATGAAGTCAAATTTACATACATATTCATAATGTACATAATGTCTAAAATGAGAGAGAGAGAAAAAAAAGGCTTTTTACAGAAAAAAAATCTATCACAATATTATGGTGTGTAGTACACACCTAATTTGGTTTCACATAAAATATCAAATAAAACGTTTTAATAGAAGACATACTAAAGTCAATTCGGTACAGATTTTAATATAAGACATAATGAAGTCTATCATTTTATTATAAGACATACCATAGTCAATCCAGTAAAGGTTTTAATTTAAGACGTACTAAAGTCAATCCAGTACATGTTTTAATTTAAGACGTACTAATGTCAATCCAGTAAAGGTTTTAATTTAAGACGTACCATAGTCAATCCAGTAAAGGTTTTAATTTAAGACGTACTAAAGTCAATCCAGTACATGTTTTAATTTAAGACGTACTGAAGTCAATCCAGTACAGGTTTTAATTTAAGACGTACTGAAGTCAATCCAGTACAGGTTTTAATTCTAAACAAATACAGTAAATGGTTTAAATTTTAAGACATACTAAAGTCAATGACAGTTGGCTATGAATTGAACTAATGCACTCATTGTAACTGAAAGACAATGTTTTAAGTGAGTTTTACAGCACGATAAATTGCACATTGTTTCTTAATCATAACATCGACATGTTTTAATGCCTGTTTCTTTATTGGAACCACAATGGGCAAAAGCGGTAGTACTGGTGATTTTATGCAGTCGTTGGGTGTATTAAATACACATTTGTCTCGAAGGTTTCACAGAATTTCCAGCATTTAAACATACACTGAGACGCAATGAAAAGGCACCTCTGGTGTGACAGGAAATACAGTTGTGGGGCATTTAAGCGACCCGTTAAAACATCATTCTCGCGTGTTTTCGCCGTGATATGATGTAGTTACATTCCGAATTGCAAAATTAAACGAGATTCAAAACCATGGAACCTATTTATAAAAGTGGTACGTTTTCATTGCGTCTCAGTATATTTTGACATCATATTGATTTAGAGCTTCGCGAATCAAAATAATATGTCTTTGATTAACGAGGGTAGACGAATTAAATGCTAATTTGGCTATTACAGATTGGCTATCATTAATTTTGCTTTTGACATCGAGTGAATATTTTCTGGATAAAATTAAATGTTTTTGGGGAAATTGAGTATTTCGGGAGAAACGTATATAAAAATGAACAAACCCAAGTAACATGATGAAGATGAGCTAATTAACGGCATATCGTATGGATTGAGTCTAAATATAGGCACAAAATGAATTCAATCAAATGAATCACACTTTACAAATCTACACTGCAATTATGAAATGTTCAATTTAATACATTTAGTTTTTTAAAGACTTCCACAAGTTATTTGGGGCTGATCCTTGCTTGTTTTCACATCACTTATATACATGACAAAATGGATTCATTTTTCTTTGAATTTTCTTTATTATATCTCAAGTTATCTGTTTAAGAAATCATTTATTTTACATTAAAATAAAACAGGCATATATATATTTCATATTTTCAGGAACGCCTCGTTGACTTTTGGTTGTATTAAATTGAACATTTCATATTTTGCCGCTGCTATGAACATAAATAAAGTAAATAATGCATTTTCTCGTTTGTACATAAATATAAATATCACAAATCGGTTCTTCATTTAACAAAAGAAGGATACAGACCACTTATTATTTTCTTGTACAGAGTTTTCTACATTATTACTTGCAACATTTTGGACAGAATTTGATTTACAATGACAGTTATCTCCCCCTATTCGATAGATCTACTATTTCACTGGATAACAAAGAATAATCTTCATTTAAATGTAGCTCAGTAATACTCGATATGAAAACGGCCAGATTAACGCCAATTTAATATATTTTAGTCCATTGTCCATAATGAGTAAAGTAGCTTTAGAAGGCAATCGAATAGAATTTATACTGACTTCGGATTATTCAATATGAAGGCATTCGTATACATGCGTAATATATTCAATTTCTGGTCCCGTTTTCAATAAGTCAGGCGGATAGTTTTTAAGAGAGTGATTTCGAAATCATATACACATTATGTAGATAAACACTCATGCCTCGCATTCATAATATGATGTGTTTAAATTAAATCTAAAAATAGCCTAAGAATGGAAGATACCCGAATATTGTCTTGAGTATGTTAAAATGGTTAATAATTTATTTACATTTTAAAAGTCTAACATAATGTATAAATAACAATTAATATATAAGAAACAAAACAAATAAATAATGACATAAAGTATAAACAATTTTAGGAATTACCATTAAATATCATAAAATGTAATAATAATAATAATAATAATAATATAGGCCGTTTATAGTTCTAATTGGAATTCTTATGAGTTCAGAAAGTTCTTAATTTGCGCCTCTACCTGTGAAGGACTAGCAACGGGTTAACGTAACCGTGGAAAATTACGTGATTTCAAGTCTGAAAGGACTAACTGGGTTAGGGCTAAAAGCTAAAGCTCATTTCAGATTTCGTCATAGGTCACGAGATGCGGGTTAGGGTGTCAAATATCGTGACCTATGACGCAATATGCAATGGATCTTAGCGTCTAGCTTTACCGCCTAACAACAAATATTAGTCAGGATGAGTTGTCACCATTTGAGAATTACTAGGTTATTGGCTAGATTATCTGGTCTTTTACATTACAATGAACAAAATCTAAGGACGTAACTAGATCTAAAACAAGATGTCGACGCCAATGAAATTAATCTAAGAATTGCCATTTCTGGAAAAATCTATTTGCATTGTCTCTTATTTTATTGAAAATTTTTCAAGGATCATATCTATGGTTTTTATTAATCGTAATTCGTCGTCACGATTCATGTTTGTTTATATATAATGCATGAATTATGGGATTTATTTCGGGAAGGGGTGCAACTCGTATTTGACTTTAACTAAAAAGTTTTATTGCCCAACCGAGAATTCTTTTTATGTGGTTGATTATCTGGTAAAATTTCGCCAAATGTTGACAACTGACCCAGACCGTTGAAAATTACCAATCAAGCCGAGTTATCTCGTCTATCACGTGATTTCAAAATGACACATTCTGGAACAGTAAAGCATCGTCACTCGACGCATTTGACTTTTACAAATCATGACGTGTTCCTTGTAACTGATTCAAAACTTTTAGCAACACCGGTATTTGTACATTATTCTAAGTTAATAAATAAACTTGTCTGACTACCGTGTTAAAATTTGTCCCTAAACACTAGACACGTCAAAGGGAGATAATAACCAATGTAACGTCTATTAAGAGACTGGTTATGGGTGATTCTGGAACATTCTTCTGTCATAGGCTATTCTCGATAATGTTAGCTGCCTATTCAGTATCTTGTTTATATCTACAGTTTCATCACACATTTGATAGCAAAATATACAATTTACCTGCTTTTGTCTGTAGTTTGCACAATGGGACAGTTTTGAAACGTATCTTACTTGCAATGAACATGAACTGACCGGAAAAGTTACCTGCCAATATTTTGAACTTCGAATACGTTCAGATGGTCGCCACAACGAACTATTATTATATTGATAAATGTTTTGATGGAAATGAGATTAATTCGCCACGGGCAATCTAAAAAATCTAATGCAACCTTCATTTCTTTTGATTTTATGTAATTTCATTGGCCTTGACTGCCTTGAAATCGAACATGAATTCTTAAGCGTGTAAAATAGAAATGAATGATATTAACAACTAACCGTATCTTCCAATTATTAAAGAGTTTAGGGCGGCCTGAATTAATAATCTTTATAATTATCTTTTAATATTATAAAAATAAAACAAAAAAGCCCCAAATTTATGTATTTTGGCAAATGGCTCTTTAGATCAATTAAGAAAGAATAAGGAAATGTAAAATTGCGGTAATAATAAGCTTTAAATTTCACCCGTTATGTTTTCCAAGCTATATTCAGTCCGATGGAGGGTTGGATAGGGGTGAGTCTGTGTGAACAAAACACAGGGTCGTAAATCATGAAAACGTTTTCAAAGTTAGAATTTTAGTACAAATTAGAGCTCGTAGTCAATAATGTAAGGGCGGAATTCGTAAGTAGTTTTTTTGTGAAACCCCTTAAAGAGAGAGAGAGAGAGAGAGAGAGAGAGTGAGAGAGAAAGAGATGGGGCCTAACGTCCACTCGACACAAACTAATTGATTTTGGAACTAGCATGAAAGAGAGAGAGAAAAATGAGGCTTAACGTCCACTCGACACAAACTAGGTCATTTCGGGACTAACACATGGTTCAATTTCATTTCAATAATTCGTTTGCGCACAGGGGTCTTTAGCAGTGGGAGGAAACAGGAGGACCCGGAGAAAACCCACGAGGTTGGACAGGTGATCCTACTCCTTGTCACGTACAACCGAGGAATCGAAACCCCGCCAGATTACTCAATGACAGACTTTATGATACAGCACGCACGTGCTAACCATTCGCCCCCCCCCCTCCCGGCGCCTAACATATGGTTCAATTTTATTTCATTAATAAGCTTCATTGTAAGGGTAATTAGCAATGGGAGGAAATCGGAGAATACGATGCATTCAACCGATCACATAACAGCTAGAGACACCGCTGACCAGTCAAAATCTTTTACCCCTTATTGCACAAGTAATAATTATAATAATAATAATAGTAATAAAATACCATCTCAAAATGGCCGAAGTATTGTGTTGAGGAGATTTCAAGCCCCATTTTCTTTTCCTAATTAATCTGACAATATGTTTAATGAAATAGTCAAAAAATCTTTAATAATAACATTTACAAAAAAAATTATCATGACTCAATTCAGAACTTATCATGCTCATTTGCATCCCCCTTTCCCCATAGAACCATTTCAATTGACTTCGATCGTGACAAGGTAATTGAGCGGAAGTGGAAATCATAGTGCACTAGAACGCCTATTAATTATAGGCAATCACTAATTACACTACATAATAAACTAGAAAAAGTTAAAGAATGTCAAAGGAAATAAAATATCACGTGATTGGTTGAGTCTAAATTGTATGTCCTATAATGAACCGCTATACAGGCACTTTAATACGAGTAAACATCAACTTAACGCATTAGCTTGGCAGATGAATACATAGTTATATTATAGTTCGTAATGTTTTATTGACGCCATATTGGGAAATAGAGCTTTCCATTTTTTTGCCAGCTAATTTGGCATCGATTGACGCGTATCAATGAAGATGGCATGTTATAGATTTCGGATAAACCTTACTTGCACCGAGACCGTCTGCTTTGAACAATCCATGATCCGAGGACATCTGATTTAATTGCCAGCACTGTCTTAGCTCTTGATTCTGACGTCACCAATGAGTGGGCTATTAGCTCTTGATTCTGACGTCATCAATGACTGGGCTAAATCCTTCAATTGTACACGCACACACTTCAGAACACGTGATTTAGAACACACGGACCAAATTACTAGCACGGGTACCATTTGTAATATCAATAGGTTTTGATAAATTACAAATTCTGCAGAACCCATCCGAATCTCTAACATATCGTATCCTTGAACTTAAATTTAAGCAACCACTTAAACAAGGAGATTCTTTGATCCACACACTATGCCATCAATATCACTATTAAAATTGGATACCGTTACGTCACATACAATCCCCGGCCACCTGCTACCATGCTAGTTCTTTGAAAAATAATCTACATAACAAGAGAAAGACGAGAGTGTTTATTTGGCATCAGGCTCAGTAAGCGAGAGCAAGGACAGATTATCATTTTCCCTGGATAAGATCTTCTCAATCTTTGTCACCCTTTGTTTCAAACGCTGCTGTGTACTGTTAAAGTCCGCTAGAAGACGAGCGAATCGAGTTTGGAGATTGTCCACAGAGGTGTCTATTCTTGTCACCTTCTGCTCCTGGGATTCTTGCTCTTCCATATCCTTCTTCATCGCTTCCTCATCCAGAAGATTGTCTTTCTTGAGAATCTGACGACCACGCTCTATGAGCACTCTTTTGGCCTCCGGATACTCCGCCAAAGCATCCCACAAATCGTCCTTCGATAGACAAAACAGATCACTGTATCCTATACTCCGTACATTTGCTGTTCGCCTATTACCAGTTTTATTGCCCGCAATGTTTAAAATACTAACTTCTCCAAAAACACTACCGTCACTTAATGTAGCAAACACAGTGTGCCCATCATCGGCTACCACACTTAACTTTCCTCGTTTCACTATATACATCTCCCTACCGATATCCCCCTTCCTACATATATAATCCCCCGGACTAAACACCTGTAACTTGAGCTTTAATACCAGTTCCACTAACAGACCTGGTTCACAGTCCTGAAATATGCTCACACGCTTTAACGTATCTAAATGAACGTGCATGGCCATTTCGGCTTTAAGTTTGTCGGGGAGCGCTGATAGGACACCTTCTTCGTTTAACGATTGTTTATTGGTCCACAAATAATCGAACCATTTAATAACCCGCTCTTCCAGTTCTTTGCTCACTTTTCGGAACTCCATATATTGTTTCACACCATCCATTTTTTGCTGAAAATCCGAACGCGCCGCGTTCATATTAGTAATCATACTGCCGACATTACCTACAATGGTTGCAAAAATCAACACACCAATCAAAAAATCAACAACAACAAAAAGGTATTCAACATCCCTTTCCGGTTGCGGGGTTTCACCAATGGTAGTTAAGGTCAGGGTCGACCAATAGAAACTGTATATATACTTCCGGGTCAGAGGTTTATACTTAGGTAACGAGACGTTACCGTAGACCCAATCATCCGTACCGAACCCGATGGCACCGCTGATCGCGAAATATATACAGGCATTCCAGTGAATAATGATCAAAATATATAACACAAGGTGAGCAATTCGGAAAATGTTCGTGAAACTTGTCCTCGTTTCTGTCCTGTCGAAGAATTCGAACAGACGTCTAGCACGGAACAGACGATTAAAGCGAACTTGTGGCCGATTAGGTCCCAGTATTATGTAGAATAGATCGGTAGGAAGGATACTGATGACGTCAATATAAAAACCCCTACTCTTCATATATCTTTTTCTTAACTTGACAGGATCACTGACCATTAGACCATGTTCTAAATAACCTGAAAATATATACGTATATATAAGTATGTGTTTTTGTCTTTACTCTATCCAGTTACTAAATGCTACTAAAAGATTAGTATACATAGAGTTTATATATTATATTAAACATGCATTATGTAAGAGCTAAATCTGCCAAATTTCAGGTCTTTATCTAAATTATTAATTAGACATTAATTAACTTATCCAAACCATAATCAACTCTCGATGTCATCGCTAGCCTGCGATATTTACTGGACTCGGATCCGATTTGCTGCTCAACTTTCATTCATCATTAAATCATGAAATGGATAATCAAGACTATGTTTTTTGTCGTACCGACTTTAGTAATAATGATCGAGGCTAGGCCGAAAATTCAATGTCCAGCAAATTCCCTTTACATTATCTAGTTTTTAACTATTATAGTGAGAACTGTCAGCTCTTTATCTAATCTCCCATAATGTATCTTTAATGTATGTTGGTTAATTGGAGACTTCACGCCCGCTTCCACTCTGGTGATATCACATATACCTAGTAAATACAACCCATTCACAGAGTGTCCTTGCTGGGGGAGGTGACCGCAGCACTCTGAATAAACTCATGGGGTTCAGTAGACAGCTCTACCAAGACCACTAGCTAGAGCTCGAAGCGCTATACTCTAGATCGCCCGCTAGGTCATCCCAAGAGTATTTGACATGCCAAATATTGTTCTGTTTGGCACAAATACAAATTATACCTTAAACAGAATAATTAAAAAAGATTTCGAGAAATCGTGTCTTATATTTCTCGTGTCCATGTTATTTGCTTCGGGACTACAGACAGTGACGCCAATTCAGGAGGCAAACCACAGTATTTTATACATACACGAACACAAAAAAAAGTTTGAGGTTATTTGACGTATTGAATAGCCTCCATGGTATAATTATAACCATATTGTAGAAAGTTGTTTTTGACCTAGACATACAATTATTTTGGATGCGATCATGTTTGAAAATTGACCAGGAAAGCCCGAGTTGAATTCCCAATAGCTATTACAGGACAATCTCGTGATATCCCGGATGAGAGATATTGTGTGCTAATGGATGTCGGCGTATATTAAGCAAGGGTTTAACTCAAGTGGAGTTTGTGTCCATTCAGCAAATCTACGTTATAACATGACAATGACAACGCATGATAAAATCGTGAACAATATAACTTGCAGTAGATGATTTGCAGCTCGCTTCATGTGGGTTATACCAAAATTCTGGTTACTAAGCACGTATACCCTATTGTATATAAACATTCTGGTTACCAAGCGCGTTACCAAGCGTGTATATCTTATTGCATAGAAACTTTTGCAGGGTTCTGCTTAATACCGTTGTTTTTCTTTTTAAAAAATTATCCCAATTCGTTCGACAGAAGACATTTTGATACCCAGTCACAATGGAAGACAATAGTTGGCCAGACATATTCCAGCTCTTACTTACCATCTAATATAAGCAAAAAGTCGATTGGATAATGGTTCCCGTAACGTTCGAATTTTCTCAAAGGATATAATTCTGTAAAATTAAATCAGTCCCTATTTTTCAAGGGATATAACGCTTTAAAATTAAAACGGCCCCTATTTTTCAAGGGACATAACTCTTTAAAAATAAAACGGCCCCTAATTCTAATTGGATATTTTTAGTTGTTCCTGTTCTGAGTGTTGGTAACGGGTCCTAGTTGATGAAGACAATATTTACCTGTTCTAAGCTGAAACGCCATATCTGCTATATATAAAATATCACTGAGGTAGTCGAGAACAAACCATAGAATTAAGTAGTTTTCTTGTAGTTCCCAGAACACAGATCTCGCTATTATAAACACTACATTATACAATACAGCTACTGAACTAACAAATAACCATCTGTAATAAAATGCTTCTGATGGATCGACAAAAAACGCTTTCCAATACCTGAAACGATTAAAAAAATATTAAAAATCATTATGATATCTCTACTTTCGTTTTATTTTTTAAAAAATGCTGGTTATCTCCCCGTATTTCTTGGTCTACTTGGGGTTATTCGATCGTGTTTCTGTATAGTGACTTATATACCTTAATAGAATTTATAATGACGTCAAACAAACCATTATTATGTATTGAAGCCGAGATCAGGTGTTTAATTATTAATTAACGTGCAAAATCCATTTCTGAAATGCTACAATTATCCCCCCTTACTTACAAAAAATTGAGACAGGAATTAGTAAATCTATAAAGAAGTGAATTATCCGATAAATCAATTACAATGAGAGTATGACTTTTGAACCACCTGATCGTTTCACAACTATGTCAGGTATCAAAATAGAAAATTAAGCCACCATTTACACCTGACTGAATTGAATGTACAAAGTGGAAGTGTGCACTTATAAAGGCTTTGGCGTTGGCAGAAAGTGTTCTATTCACCCCCCACCCTCCCCGGAGAAATAATGATTAAAGAACCTTCGCCTCAATATCAACAGAAAACACATATTAAGCCACATATCTTTTATAAGCCATGCTCTGACTCGCATCCCATAATATTAATATTCATCACGCGAAACTTCAAGGATATTGATTCTGACCTCACCTTTTTAGTCGGTTCTATATAAAAACAATAATTTATTTCATCCACTGTCAGTAGATTGGAATTAAGAAACGATTTCTTTTTTAAGAGGCCGACCGGGGGAATAGAGCGAATATATGTTATCTATATCTCATTAATATTCATTAGTTACCGACTTAATCACTTTAGAAATAAAGAATTGGGTAATATCCAACACGGCTACATTATCTAGAGAATGCAGTGAACTACTTCCTGTAAATAAATCATGTTATATCGTTAAGCAATGGCTTGAAATTCCGCGATTGCTGGAATATCTATTCATCTTTTACGATTTATATTCAGAGGTGATTATACCGCCTATATTTAATCTTTGAACCAGGAAGTTCAATATTTATAAGTTATAATTGTTTTATGATAGCAGTATACTGGGATATAATGTAATCTAAACCAAGGCCGGGTAAACTTTTTGGGGGTGGGGTCAAGTCAATGGGGATGTGAGTGGTGGGTGGTTTAGAATGAAGAAAAACAGAGTAGGGTCCAGTGCGGCTCGAAGTCTCAGAAATGTTTGAGAAATGGATTCGATTTGGTGCATTCGGATGTATATTCTGTTAAATAAAATATACATATTAAATTTTTATTTGCATTAGAACGCAAGTCTCAAACCTCAATCGAGGTACGAATCTCAGCCAGTCCCTTGAAAAGAAAACAATCACTAATGTATGAATTATCTCACATTATTTTACCGACGAACTGAGCTAAACAAACTTTCGGAACATCTTTGAAAGAAGGGAATATTACCGTAAAATGCTTTTGAGCAGATCCTCTCTGCCAATAGCAGAAAGGTACTGAATTCTTTTACCAAACAAGATTATATTAAGAGTAACATATTGAGAAGTTGCATTCATAATTCAATTGAACACAAGTTTATGGAAGGAAACCAAAGAACGGAAAAAACTAACGAGGTGTGGTATGAAATTAAAAAAAAAGATTCCCGGTCAATCTGGTCTTCATGTTAGAGACTGATTTCCTTTACCCAACCTTTGGACTTCATTGGTTCACAGGATGGTCATCGTGGAGGAAGTCCACGTGGACTGGCTCCAAGTCCATACGTACCCTCCCACATTTCCGCAAAAGCATATTATTAATGTAAAGACATAGGCTGATCTCACAGCAATGGTAGGTGAGGTCCTTCGATTGTGCATGGTTGGTGGTGTAACAAAATAACTATGCAAATAGCCAATCTGATAATTTAAACGGCTTTTAATCTAAATATAACATTATTGGCAGGCTGTTATTAAATTCAGATTGACCTCACAACCCGTAGATTTAATTAAAATTTTAATCTAGTTCCCTTGTAATTATTGCAAAAAAAAAAGACACAGTCTTATACAGCGCTAAGAGTGTGAATTCCTCTGCATATACAGAATACTGAAAAGCTATCAAGTAGGTTCGATCAGATTGCACGCATACCAATAATGTGGGTTTTATTCCGAGGCCAGTTTTTATATGGCGGTACTTTATTACTCGCATGCAATAATACCATTTATTATATGTCACAGGGACGCCGTTAATCATCTCGTATTTCATTCAATGGTTTCTTAAATGTTAAAATACGAAAACGTGATTAGACTTCAATTCCCATATATAATTCTCTTGGAAACAATTTTCGCAGCAGAAATACAAGATTATACTTAAAGTCAACGTTTCTTTCATTTTGGTTTCAGTAATTTGGCAGTTTGATATAACACACTTTATAATTAGTTTGATTTATTTAATAATATAAAAACTATGTTGATCTTAGATTTAAAGATGCATTTTGTAAGAGATAAATCTACCTATTGGCTACAAATGTTATATATATTGTTAATTAGACATTTATTAACATGACAAGCCCATAATCATGTCTTTAGATCATCGGACGAGAATTACAAATATTTATCGGTCTTTTTTCATTTTTTGCTTTCCTTCATTAATTGAATATTTTTAAAAATAATATAAATATAATTTGTACTTTACGGTCGAATATTCAAATTATTGTATCGGGAGCCACAGTTACTAATTAGTTATTAAGAATTTTCCAGATAAGTTTGTTTTTTTCAGAGCCAGTTCGGATGGGATAAGGCTAAGGTTTTCGTGTATGGTTTTGGCAGTACAGCAATGAGCCACCGGCAGTTGAGATAAGAGAGATAAATGGGGCTAACGTCCACTCGACACAAAGTAGGTTATTTCGGGACTAACATATGGTTCGTTTTTATTTCATCAATTCGCTTGCTCGTAGGAGTGTTTAGCAGTAGGGGGGGGGGGGGCGAAGGACCCGGAGAAAACCCATGAGGTTGGACAGGCGACCCTACTCCTTGTCACGTACAACCGGGGAATCGAAACCACGCTAGTTGACTCAATGACAGACCTTATTATGCAACGCGCACGCGTTAAACATTCGGCCACCCAACCCCACGTCGACAGTTGAAAATCGAAATAACGGCCGCCCATAGCAAAATGTTTCTCATAGTGTGGTGTGTGTCCGTCTTCATTTACCTGGGTTGTCCTGGAATTTATGCAGAAAAGTAGAGTTATACCGTTGATTGAGAATTCCTAACACGTTTTGGCCTACATAACCCAGACTATTCTACTCCGACTTGCTCTTTGATCGCTTTAATATTCTTGAAATACAACCGTCTTCATTATCCCCGACGGTGCAGAAAAGTAGGACGTTAAACCCCATTTCATTTCATTTCCAGCAATACAAGCACCGTTATGGAATATAGAATTGCTCTGGAAAAAAATATTTACTGACGGAACACCGAGAGAACTGCTGTAGAACGAGATGTCTGGAAGAGTTAAAGCCATACCTCGGTCAAGAGCTCAACACATTTAAAAGCAGTCAGAGATAATAACCACTGGCTTTATAGAGTGTTTATGTAATAAAAGCGCTAGTAAATTGGAAGACGGGTCAAAGCTAAAATGACTTATATTCGCCTGTGATTAGATTTGAATGCTGATGTCTCCTCTGCGAGGTTTATTTACTTACTTCGACGAGAAACTTTCACGACTTGGTACACATCGATTTTTATGGCTGATTTGACATTTATTACATATATACGTGATGTTAAATTTCTGGGTTATGGATGAAAATAGTTTGTTTTGCGTTTTTGTTGTTGTTATCTTTCCACCGTAGTCTATTCTATGGTTATTGTCTGTTTTTTTTATGTAGTTGGTGCAGTTCAGCCATAGTATATTATGTATTGCTTTATCTCTCTGTATTTTGTTGTTAAAGGTCAGTCATAATAGATTATGTAATGCTTTATCTCTCTGTATGTAGTTGTTAGAGGTCAGTCATAATATATTATGTAATGCTTTATCTCTCTGTATGTAGTTGCTAAAGGTCAGTCATAATATATTATGGAGTGCTATAATTGCTGAAGGTCAGCTATATAGATTATGTAATGCTTTATCTCTCTGTATGTACTTGTTAAAGGTCAGTCATAATAGATTATGGAATACTATATCTCTGTACGTATTTGTTGAGGGTCAGCCCGAATAGATTATGTAATGCTATATGTCTGTAGTTAATGTACTTATTGACGGTCATCATGATATATTATGGAATGCTATGCCTCTAGTTGGTGAAGGTCAGTCATAATATGCTATGGAATGCTATGTCTGTAGTGTTTGAAGATGAGTCCAAAAAAATATGGAATGCTATGTCTGTAGTTGGTGAAGGTCAGCCATAATATGTTATGGAATGCTATATGACACAGGAGCAATTCCCGATGTTAACGGGGTTGATTTTAAATGCTACTTAGGATAAAACAAAATGTATTCCATTAAAACACCAATTCTATAATATCTCAACGGCTTACTCACTGAGCCACCTAGGCTCCCAAGAAATAACCAATTTTATGTACCGCTGTCAACACAGAAAGACAAAAGTTAAACTATAATTATTAGCCAACTCCAATCCAATCGCTCGAATAAAAAATCAACCGTATTTGATATGATTGAATACCAACTTTTTGGGTCCGTCTACCACTAATGGTATTGGGTCTGGCCATCACTTACCGTATTGAATCCGACCAATAACTAAAGGCATTGGGTCTGGCCAACCACTATCTGTATAGAGTCCAGACCAGCATATTGGGTCTGAGCCACCACTAACGTATTGAGTTGTCCATCCCTAACAGTACTGGATCTGACCAATCACTAATGTTATTGAATCTGACCCGTCACTAACGTATTGAGTTGTCCACCACTAACTTTATTGGGTCTGTCCCATCACTAACCTACTGAGTTGTCCATCACTAACGGCATTGGGTATGACCCATCACTAACAGTATTATGTTAAACCATACAGCTAATCGTATCGGGTCTGATGTATTGAGTCTTAACCCATCACTAATCAGAAAAACAAGTCAGATTAACTACTTTTATTCTTTATTTTGACCCAGATCATAGAGTAATCTCGCCCGTATTAAAGCAATGTAAAATAGATGAATAGAGAATGGGTAGACTGTGTGAAGCGAAATAGAAAATAACATCCTTAATTATTCCGGCTGACCTTCTTTGACCTGCTCCAGAAAACGTCACATTGCTTATTCAGACACTTAAAGCTCACTTGACAAAAAATCTGTGACTGTATGTGGTAACAACTATACTGGACGGATCGCGAAAATCAATACTTCAACTTCGATTAACCATGTCTCTTTATGAGGAGAACGGGGCGAATTATACAACTTAACTCAAACCCCGCAAGTTGCAATTCAAGACTTCAGAACACAGTTAAGCTTTGCATACTGAAAATTCGATAAATGTTGCCGAGTGTTGAAAACAAATAGATGATGTAAAAACTGACTCAATGCAATCTTCTTCTAATTTTCAGCATGGAATTGGGGAAAAATTGCGTGTTATGAATATAGTTTAACTAATCGTAATGCAGGATCATTTTTTCTTACATTAAGCGAGACCAATAAGATATGAGTGATCAACTGAAACGAATGTTGGTAAATGTTCCGATCGACTAGACAGCTGTCCTTGTCAGGACCTAAGTCCTACATCACTGACAAGGGGTAACCACGCCGGAAAATCTGGATGAAACTTTCTCGGCCAATGCAGGGATCGAACACCCGACCTCCAGGCTAGCGAGCCAGCACACCCACCACCCCTCCAAAAAACAATAACTAATATATCTGTAAAAGTAATGAAAAATCTACAAAGTAATATTTAAAAGCCGGCCAGTTACATTTACCAACACGAACAAAGTGACGGTATCTTTATATATAATTATAGGGAAGCCAAAGTCCAAATTTAGCCAGAAATTTCAAATAAGCCGTCCCATGTAAAACAACATGTAAGGGGAACTGTTGTACAATGCCATAGTTTAATCTCGCACATGCTTGATTTATTTCGTTTCGTTATCCGCTAAACTCGGTATTGATTTTTACACATATTTAATCTTTAAATGAAACGAAATGTCAGCCGACGTCAGTTAATTTACATCGTTTATCATGGCGTGTTTACCATCACACTAAACCTGTAATATTACCGCCATTCGTCTTATCACTTTATTTATTTTTTTCGTTTCGTATTTATTTAAGTTTATTGTTTTTAACTTTACAATTTGTAGTTCGTTTTCATGAAAGTCACGACTTCTCGTGTCACCTATTCCGATTCTTCTTTTAACCTAAAGTTTGCAAGAATTCGCTTCGTTTTTTAAAAAAAACAACTTAATTTGAAATCTGCTCATTACAATTTCGTTTCACGTACAAATCCTTTTTACTCCAAGTTACACAAACCATTACGATTTTTTGTTTTCTGGCGACGTAAATATATTGCGCTGCAGTTCGTAGTAAAGATTAAATAGTAACCTCTAATTTGTTGAAATGCAAGACGTCACGATGGTAGCAAGAAAACCGAAGCCAACACGAAGGCATATAATTTTTGCTACTTTGTCAACGGAGCGCTTTTCAATTGACACGTTTGTTTAAAATAATCAAATGTTTTTTAAAAAGTCTATTACAGGAGGTGGCAAGATCGTATAAATTTGTTAAAACCTATTATCTATTTTCTCGCGGGAAATGATGAATATCAAAAATGAAATTTGTAGGACAGGGGATAACTCTATAGAGTAGAATGGAAATTTGTAAGACAATTGGCAGCGTAAGAAGGGAGGAAGGCATGAGAGTCAATAACTATCGGCTTCAGACAAAATTTCAAAGGAAAATAACCACAGGGACAGGGCGCGTTTTAAGATCATACACGAAGGCTGTTTTCGGGATTTGCATGGGTGTAACCCCCGGGGGTGGGGTGGGGTGCGGGCGGGGCTTAATAATTATTAGATAGTGGCCTACCTTATGTCTGATATTTTTCTTTGTCGTCGGTCACCGCTATGATGATGTTTGTCGTTGCCTCCCATAGCAAACCTCTCCAGGAAGGAATCCGGTCTCCGTATTGGACGATGTCGGCCGCCGGATGCCCATCCTTTTATCACCTAAAATAACAATAAAATATATAATAGTAGACTAGCAGTATACTAGTAGTAGTGAGTTCTAATATTGCGCACAATAAGCCATCGACAAAACATGAGTTTTTGACATCTTCTTAAAACAGCCAAGATGCATGGGTTTGGTACAATTTTTACAAAGCATCTATGACCAAAGGCACTAAAATGTAATAAAATCCAAAATACATTGACAAAATCTAACCTAAAATTCTTACGAGCCCAATCGTTCTACAATTGAACTTGGAAAATTATATAGTTGTTGGCTTTGCGCACCTGTGTACAGGCTTTTCCCTATGAAATGAAATGGGGTTTAACGTCCTACTGTTCTACTCCGACTGGGCTAAGACGGGCACACGGGTACTGTGAGGGAAAATTTTCCCGGAACCGGGGCTACGGCCTACTCTTATATCGAATATTTTACGTGCACGCCAATGTGTACACGGGACCTCGGCTTATCGTCCCATCCGGGCGACTAGGCAGCTGTCCTTGTCAGGCCCTTCGCCTTGTACCACTGACAAGAGGGAAACCAATCTGTAAATTCCCGATGAACTTTCGCGGTCACACCCAAAAATATAAAAATTCTATTAAAATGATTCAAACAAGAACAAGAGAGATCAATAGCGTTTTTTGGACTGGTTTGCTTGAAATAATGTTTTATTTTGTGTCAAAAATGTAGCCAAGGGATTTAATTATAAGAATGCATGTTTGCTTGATTTTTCGGAGGGAGTAAGTTGGGGGGGGGGGGGGAGGGTATTAACTTTACAAAGTGACACCAACCCGCAAAAATCTCCCCCGAAACAATGCATAATATTTAAGACATAATAAAAATTATAAAATTGGCACACGAATTGCGTGCTAGATTTCTTCGGAGTGCTATTTGCATTGAAGCTACACGATGAACGAACCTAAAGATACTCTACAGGGGAGATTACTACCAGTGCATACTGGAATAACTGCACCAAAGACTGCAATATTTCGCCCAATATAACTGATTAGAAATTAGAGTAAAAACAGAAACGATTGAATGCAAATCAGTTTGTATACATTCATATTACATTATTATACGCGTTGCGACCCATTTATAATGATTTAGCTCCTTTAAGTTAAAAGAACTGCATGGCGAAATAAATTCCAGCTTATGCCGTCACATGCTCCCCATATCTCCCCTCCCCTCCCAAAGAGTTGAATTATTCAGTACCTTACACTCCACCCTAGAAATATTCCGTTCCGCCAACGTGGATATCTGGGCTTCTTACCAACTCTACACTATAATTAACATGTCTATAGAGTCTCTCGGGTGCGAGTTAGAACAGGATAAGCCTTAATGCTTGTTATTCAGGAAAGATAATTATATTTTCACGAGCCAGTTGCGTCATTTTCTCATTAGCAAAGACATCAGTTACAATACTGTTTCCGCAATTAGCCTCGTTTTCGGTCGAGTCACCAGCACAGAAAGTCATTACGTCATAATAGGATTATAACTAACGACATTTCATGGCTGGTTTTACAATTAACCTGCTATCATAGTTATTTACATTACAGGATCCATCGCATCTCTCGCTAACAGTTTGCTCTAGACAGATCACTGTCGTGAAATCATTACTAAAGTCTGTCATAAACAAATTATAAATCAGGCGCGTGTCCTACATGCACGTAAATAACGCCCTTTTAGCTCACGCTGCAATCCTATACAGGTGTGCACATAAATGAGCTTCTGATTTTATCAAATTCGCTTGTCTGCGATATCACCTCGGTGGAAACGGACGTAAAATACAACTAACCCATCATCATATCAAATTCGCGTTAGTTAGTTACGTACGAAATACCATGGAAGCTGGGGTGGGTGGCTTAGTGAGGAAGACTTTGTCTATTAGAAAAGGGAGATAATCAGGATTAAATATTATGTTAGTAATTTTCGCCCTTCGAGAGCAGATTTCCTCCGAACGCTCATAGCGGATTAACCACTTTGAAATTTTTATTACTTTTATTACTTGATTTAGGTATTGAATTCCAATGCAAAAGTTCCTTTTTTAAGTAATTATTTTTTTTTATGTACATAAAAATATTGTGTTTAATTTATCTTATTTATGGTACTGTTCACAGCCTAGAATATTTTTATAAATGTAATGCAGGATTTATCCAGAATAAACATTTTACCAGATATAAAAAAGCGTTCGCCAGCTAATCTGGAGGTCCCGTGTTTGATATCTGCGTTGACCGAGAAATGTCGTCGGGATTTTCAACCGTGGTTCCCCCTTGACAGTGATGTAGGACGGAGGACCTGACAAGAGACAAAGTATAGCCGTTCGGATGGAACGAAAAATCGAGGTCCTGTGTACACATTGGCGTGCACATAAAAGAACCATTGACAGTTGGAATTAGAAATAAGAATAAACCATAGCGCCGCTGTCCGGGCACAATTTGCCTCATAGCACACTGCATGGTGTATGTCCGTCTTCAATATCCCAGTAGGACGTTAAACCCCATTTCATTTCATTTCATTTCATTTCATTTTTTAAATAACACAGATCAACCCAATTGAGAAGGTTATTTTGATCTTAATCAAGGTGATTCTGTTATTTAAGATTACATTGGGACAAAAAAAAAAAAAAAAAAAAAAAAAATATTGGTATCTAAAAATAATAACATCTCTATGATTTCAGATCATTAAGCGACGACTTGAACTGACTTTCTTTCGGCGAACTCGTGACCAAAATATATGTCTCAATTTCCTTTCTTGGCCACAAATGCACCACAAGATTGGAATGGAATTGAATTAAATTTTTTGTCTTTGGTTAGAATAAGACTGGCTTTAAGCTAAACAACAGGCGAGATTTAACTAAGTTTGCCGGAATTCCCTTGATATGAAGCCAGTGATAGACGAATATTGTCACTGTATTAAATGTACATCGTTATTTCGACGTAATTGAATCATCCATTTTAAGAAAAATATGGCAGACGATTGAACAATATTGTTCAGTTGAAAAGTTAAAATTCATCCACATGTGGAGAGAGAGAGAGAGAGAGAGAGAGACAGAGAGAGAGAGAGAGAGATGGGGTTTAACGTCCACTCGATACAAACTAGGTCATTTCGGGACTAACAAATGGTTTAATTTTATTTCAATAATTCGCTTGTGCGTAGGGGTCTTTAGCAGTGGGAGGAAACCGGAGGACCCGGAGAAAACCCGCGTACAAAAAGGGATTCGAAACAACGCCAGTTGACTCAATGACAGGCCTTATGATACAGCGTGCACGTGCTAACCATTCGACCATTCAACCCCCATCCACATGTGGTTAACTAAACTTCCATTATATTCAGAGAGAGCTCGAGCTCGATGAGGTCACACTACAGAATTAATATCGTTTTGGTAAAGTTCAGAGTTCCAGCTAAGCACAACGGGAACAATAGGCGGTAATTAAGGTTGTTCTAGAGACTATACATGATAGTTGATTGGACTTTAACCTAACGGTCAAGTGATTTGGCAAAGCATCTAAATCGTCATTTAACCCAAATTTCTTTACAATAAGTAGAATGGCTTCAGACAAATTGCCACAAATAAACGACCAACAGTAATATACATTGGCATAAGTGGTCTATGACGCCGTGCACAAGGCAATCTATGCTGGCTAAATTATTATTCTACATGAAATTATATGCGGTTTAACGTTCTTTAACGCGCGCGTGTGTGTTTGTGTGTGTGTGTGTGGGGGGGGGGGGGTATATAAGTGGTCTATGACGTCGTGCACAAGGCAATCTATGCTGGCTATACAATTATTCTACATGAAATAATATGCGGTTTAATGTGTGTGTGTACGGTGTGTGTGTGTGTGTGTGTGTGTGTGTGTGTGTGTTGGGGGGGGGGTATAAATGGTCTATGACGTCGTGCACAAGGTAATCTATGCTGACTATACTTTTATTATACATGAAATATGCGGTTTAACGTTCTTTAACGTGTTGGTGGTTGGGTGAATGGTTAACGCGTGTGCGTTGGATCATAAGGTCTGTCATTGAGTCAAGTGACGAGGTTAGACCCCTACGCGCAAGCGAATTATTGAAATAAAATTGAACCATACGTTAGTCCCGAAACGGCCTAGTTTTTTCGAGTGGACGTTAACACCCCTCTCTCTCTCTCTCTCTCTCCCTCTCTCTCTCTCTCTCTCTCTCTCTCAGGTGTCAAGAAGACAGGGATACACTACGAAGTTTGTTATAAGTGAAATACGACCTACGCTTGTTTCGAATTCCAGATGTCGAGGGTTCTTTTAAGTGCACGGTTAACGAATACACGGGACCTCTGTTTTTCATACCATCCCAGTTCCAACTGTCAAGATTTCTATTTGCTTTTGTCCAAGTATGTTATTTCCTTTCTGTACGAGTTAAATGACCATGGTTTTTAAGTTATCCATTGTAATTTGATTGACATGCAATATTTCGTCGAACGTGATTGTTGGCTTGTATTAAGGGAATTGAATTAAATGTAGCCGCTAAGCTATATTACAAATTCTTTCTGGGGATATAATGAGACATTAAGAGACTCAACGTATTCAAATATTACGTCAATAAGAGCCACTACTGCATTTAAAAAACTAACACCAACGCGGTCATTTTCCATGGAATGAATATAAATTACGCCTCCGATTTCACACTTTTTCCCCATCTTAGATTTACTGATATGAATCAAGGACTTGCTGTCAGGAACAAGTAACAACTGGAACGTTGTATTATAGCACTTTAGTCGACATATTTCGCAAGCAAGATTTATTTTTAATTCGATTTATCAAAGAATTAGTACCTCCCCAAGGGAGCGCCGCAGAAGTCTCTATCTCAGCGAACGTCTGAGAACGTTTATCTCAGGGAGCATCTCATAAGGCCTGTATCTCAGGAACCAGCTTTCTATTTCCAATACAGGATATTGCCGATGTAATCGCACATAAACCAACCATGGCAAGTCGAAACATATTTTCTAACCGACGTGCACAGATCTTTAACG